ATGTCATAAAGGCTTAGTCATGTCTCTTGACCAAGCAATGAGCTGGTGCCCTGACACATCTTCTCTCTGTGACTACTCCATATCTATATATGCTAGGTAGTCAATAGAGTATAGATGTGTTTCCATGTTTCTGAAATGGTTATGTGTACTCTCTGGTACATCTTTGCCTTTATTGAAATTGTTCCCATATCCTAGTGTATATTATCCTGCCCAATCCCCAAGCTTCTTTGCAATGATCGGCCAAATAGAAAACTATTTTTGGGCACATGATCTTCTTTGTATGGAGCTTGAGCTATCTGGTGCAACCTTCCTTCATAGTGTGTTATATTTGGCTTACGCATGGCTGCATCTTTGATCTACTAATATTAGGGGGCTTACTCTCACACTCTGTATATTGGGATTACTTTCCATATTTACATGTTCTTCCTTTTTGTTCCAAATTAGGGCCTTTGAATTGGTGGATATTGTATGGGTTTCCTTCTTATGATGATCTTGCCCTCCAAGAGTCTTGTGCTTCATGTCTTCTTACTTCTTGTTCCAGATACCAGGTTTTTTATCTCCTCTTCAACTGCATGATTATGTGGCAATCAGATAGTTGACATGGCATATTACTTGGTCCAGCTACTTCATGGCTGTGATTGTATGTCATGGTTAGTGTATTCTCTCCTTTTGTTTCTGTCTCTCTCCTCATCCATCAGTTGTATCAGCAGGGCACATTGACAAAAGAATGTTCTGGAGGGCTTGTGCTTGTATGGTCATCATGATTATTGACAAACATGTATAATGAAGAAGCTTACCCATGATTTTTTCCCAAATAGAATCTTCTATTTTCTTCATTGGTGTACTGCTGGATTATTTGTTCTATCCCAGTCTTGCGACTGCTCAGATTGGGCTTCTTTATGCATGAGGTAATTCATTCATATTGGTCTCATGCAGTCAATTTTCTGCAACATATTTAAGCCCTGCATTGGAAGATGTTGTTTGCCAATCAACTTGTTCCACTACCTCTTCATTTTCTTTGACCTCATCTACTTTTACATTGGCCTCTTGAAATTGTACCATCAATGGCTGGTGGTGGATGAAAATCCCACCTGGCTCATTGTTCAGTCTCCCAGGAATTGAGTTCAACACCTGTACCCCCTGTCAACAACACAGTGACCTGCAATGTTGAACTGCCAGTTGTTCCAAACAAAGATTGTTCATCCACTGAAGTCATCACTGAGAGCAAGGATGACAGACCAGATGTAACTGCTCCTTTGAACATGTTGTCCTCAGCACCCATGTCAGTTGTAATCACCCATGCAGAAGATGATACTCCTCCATTCCCTGTCCATCCTATGACTCCTCCTGCCAGCCATTCTGTGATCAATTCCCTTAGAGATTGGCTTGACACCAGTTACAGTCTTGCCAAAGAAGAAGATCTGTTGCATCTTGATTGGAGGTCTGCCAAAGGTTCTGGCATTTATCTGTGTGACAAGGATGGTGTTGCTCATCTCACTGTGATCAGAATGATTTCTACTTCTTGGTTTGCTCTGACACCTGATGGCAGTTGGGAACCTGGAAACTCCAAATCACCCTCTTTCCCAAAACACAAAGCTTCTGCTTATCTGGTCAGTCCTTTAGAAGAGCCTTTCAGTACTGATTGGGACATTGCTATGAAGAACTTCGAGAACCTGGAGCACAAAGCATGCAAAGACAATTTTGAATTGCTCTCAGCTCACAAGCAAGCTGGCCTATGGTTTTCCTGGCCACTCTTTGAGGTTTGTTCACATCTGTCATATCCTTTTATGTTTGACTTACTCTGTATGCATGTGCAGAAGATACCTACTAACTCTGATGCATCGTTTACATCTGGGAAGTCTGTTTGTCCTGTTGGTGAGCCTGCTTTCATTTGAACATGGTTTAATGTCTGATGTTTTTTAGATGAAGTAGACCTTGAAGCTTGTTGGTGTGGTTGGATTGTTCATCCTGCTGCTGATTGGCATTTCCACAACATGAAGAGTACCCATCATCCTATTCCAGTTCCTGCTTGGAACAAGTCTGGTGAGCTTATTCCAACTTCTCAGTGGTCCAATTCTCTCAAAGGGGCTATTGTGAAAGGGAAGTTTATAGCAAGGGTGTATCATTTCCAAGATAAACAGCAATCAGTCATGGCTCTTGAACCAGTTAATCTCATCATCATTTTGGATCCTGTGATCAGAAGTTCCTCTCCCATCAAGAATCATGATCTCACCAAAGGACCAATTGTGTTGCCTTGGAGGAAGTAGGCTTCTTTGATATATCTCACATTTTGGACTGGGAAGGTTCAACCCAATCCCAGTATTGTGGTAGTTATTAACTGGGTTCTTAACTCCTGTTATGATTTCTGTACCATCTTTAACCATCACTCATTTGCTCATTATTTCCTTTCAGTGTTTGATTATGTTGATTGGTACTTTCTATTCTGTCCCTTGTTATCAGATTCTGAATTCTAACCACTTATTCTCTTCCCATGAAATCCTGATCCTTCCTGAGGTGCTCCCGGTCTATCTTCATCATCAACAGTCCCATGTTCAATGTGTCTTCCAGTTGCTTCATGGACTTGTCATGCAATGCATCTGCATTCAGAACCTGGTTCCTTCCATACTACAAAAAAGTGTTCCGAATCTTCTGTGTCAGTGTAGGGATTTGTTCACACAGTGTACAATCTGTCATGAACATTAGACGTGCTTTAATATGGCTTTTGATGCTAACATTATTGCATCTTTCCAATTCCTGTTTCCTGAAAAATGGTAATTGAAGTTGTCACTGGCTTCCTCCACCCATCCATCCTCCATAGCCTTTTTGAATTTGTCAGACAGAAATATCAATATAGTATAATATGCAGAAGTCATATTGTTGAGAGAAACTGTTACACATATGTCACATGAATAACCCTTTTACCCCTTCTATCCTGCTCACCTTGTGGGATCCTTCCAGGGTATGATAGATGCTTGAGAGGCAAGGGATGATTATGAGAATGTATAAATGATGATGCAGCTGAGCACAAAGCATGATTAAGCAGATTCAACTTCTGTCTCCATCTGCTTGGGCACATGTGGATGTCCCCTCACCATCTGACTTCTTCTCCACTAACTTTGATGAAATGAACTTAAGCAACCCTTTGCCATTCAGTTTGTCTTGTCTCAAGGCAGAATTTATGGAGCTCAGGCATACATGTGAGCAGAGCAATGTGACTTGAGGTCAAAGAGAGTTGGAAGAGGTTGTTCCACTTCAGGTGAGTATATGTGCCATTGGTAGATGTTGGTATGACCTTGTGATTGCAACAGGAAATAGCCAAAGCTGCACTCTCTCATATGCCGGACCTCTATCCTCTCATCAACCAGGGCATCATCAATCTCATCCAGATGAATGGATACAACACTTGGGGAGAAGACATTGCTGCTGAGTACAAGGCCTGGCTCAAGATTGATGGAAACATGCCAGTTATTCCACCTCCTTGTAGTCGACATGCTAGTCTCATTCTTGAGCATACTGTATCAGCGAGTGCTCAATCACTCCAACAGCATAGCATCTCCATTATTGGAGAACAGAAACAAGAGGTTGCCAATGTGGATGTATCCATAGTGGAGGGACAATGTAGTGGGACTGTTCTGAGTAGTGTTTTGCCATTGGTGGGTCTGCTTGAGAGTCAATGTTCAAGTGATAGTTCCCTTTTTAATGTGGATGATGCTGGTGTACATACCTGTTGCTATTGTTTCCTTGCTGTTTTCTGATCTATGTTATAGATTCATGTCAATGTTGGCCACAGTCAAGTTAGGTTTGATGACAGGGTGGGGAAATCGGACTTTCAGAAGTATACCCAACATGTTTGTCCCTTCATTCTTCCCATGGATTTTCACTGAGACTCATTAGACTCCAGAACCATCTTCTGTTGCAATCACGGTGACCAATGTCCCACCAGACATTGATTGTGTTATGGCTCTTACTCCAGAAAAGTGTATTTTGCTCTCAACTGGTACAAGCCATAAAACTTGCTGCACCAATTCCAGTTTCTACAAGTTCAAATAGTGCTGAAGATTTTCTGAACCTCGACATAAATGACATGGGTGGTAATCTCATTGATACCGAGACAGTGGAGAATGTGCAGGAGACTGATGGTATCACCCAAGTACTGGGCTGTGGGTTCTTTTATATGTAGGGGGTTTGTCTCTGATCCTACTCATCAGATTGTTTGTCTGATAAGATACTCACTGATAACCTTGATTCCTCTCATGTTCCTGGAGTCAGATCATCTTTGTCGGGTAATGACAGCAAAGTTACTTTGGAAGTACCTGTAAGTATCCCACATGCTTGTGTTGAAGTTCACTAACATATTTATTTACTTAGGCAATGCCTGGGGATCAGGCTTTCACTATCAAAGACCATGTTGTGCATGACAATGTATCTCATCCTCAGATGATTGAGTTTGATTATACCAAGAATGCTGGTAAACAATGTCTACTCTGGTCAGAAGGCTCCTGTGTATTTTTAATGGGAACTTCCATGATCACTATCAGCATATGACCATTCTAGATGCTTTTCCCAAATTGGAATACAACACCTTGGATTACCTGAATAACTGGCTTAGATTGATCTGTGGATGGCAACATCATCTGGATAGTGAAGTGTGTGAGTTAGCTGACTGCTTGAGGATGTGAAACTGACATATGGGTCCAGATTGTGTTATCTATAAAGGAATTCTCATTGGGTAAGGCAAAGAAGGATATGGAGCATTACCGGAGGAATGGATGTGCCAGGGAGTATAGTTGTTTGGCAGAGTATCAGTTACGTGAGATTGACCTCCTTGCTACTGCTGGTTATGCTACAAGTTATACTAGAATTGTACATACAAAAAAGCATGGTGTGTTTATGATTTAATCATGTATTATGGAACTGAATCCTTGTAAAATATCTTCTGTTTGTCCCACATTTATTTCACATGTTGCCTCATGGCAAATAACACTTGGGATTTCTGGACCGATTATATGTATTCAACACACAGCATGTATAACTAGCCAATCTACACTTAGAAGATGTTACATATGAGTATTGTATGGGAAAGCAAAGAGGGGTGGAGGAGTATCTTGTTCTGGCAAACTTCATTTATGTTTCTTCTCCTTCAACTCGCCACTGAGGATAGTAGCCAGATCTTTGAGATGATTGATGAGAGTTCCAAATCTAACCTCAGAATGTTTCTCTTTCAGCATATTGATGGTACTTTCCATTTTCCAGATTATCGTGAGGGGATCCTTCTTTTGAGACCCTGATAAAGGATGTCAGCACCTGGATACTAGTTGCTCCTCTGTCCATACCAATATTTTTGCCAGTCAAAGAAGAACTTGCTTTATCTTCTTTACTTGATTGGGACCTGGTGCACAGGCCATTGTGTTGTGCTTTGGTTTCTTTGGCAGTCTTCATCTTTGTGAGAGGAGATATCTGGTTCCATTCTTGATCGCTGTCCAGACCAGATGTGTTGATACTAGGGTGCATGCTCATTGTCCTTTTCTTCACCCTCATGGATGAAGAGTTAATGCCAGACTTTGTGATGTTGTCGGTATCAGTGGAAAAATCCATGGCATGTGACAATTTTGTTTTTGTAGTCTTGGTGATGTTTGTAAAATTGGTCATCTTGCCATTTTCAGTATCAGTGTTGGTGTTGTTTGTTGGTTTGCCTTTGCTGCTGTTCCTGTCTGTGTGCAATTGCATCTTCAACACTTTGACAGGCAATGTATCATTGACTTTTCCCAGTGTGGTAGCTTCCTGCAACCTGTTCACCATTCCACCATGGCTGGGCATCATATTCTTTGAAGTGCCCTGCTTGCTGGGTGTGCAATAGGTTTGATCATCATCATCCTGTGCTTGGACTCTCGCCAAAGAAAGTTCCCTTGCTTCCAGCTCCTTTGGAGTGAGCTTGTCGAACATAACAATCTTCTCCCTCATTATCTTGCTGGTGTCATCATCTTTGGCTGTAGATGGTTTGTAGATATGCTTTCACAAATTTGCCTTGGAACCAGGCTTTTTGAGGAGCAAAGATATGACAAGTTCTGTGCTTTTGTAGTCTAAGGATGTCAGAAAGTAGACCCTCTATGTCAAGACAAAAAATAAAATACCTTTGGTGAATCCACATTGTCTGTTGGAAGGGCCAGCCCTGTACATTGCACAGGTAAACCTATCTTGTCAAGTCATCTTGATTGGGCCTCCACACTGCATACAATTCCCTTGATCTGTTCCTGCAGCCTTGTCATGAGCATATTGCAGATTCCATTGGGGACACTACAAATATTCTCAGTATTGGTTCTTGCATATGTAACATTGGGTTACTTACCCATCCAGTGTGTGCATCCCCTATCATGGAACAATCATTGTTGCTATCATTCTTTTCTGGTTCAGTGCAAATTTGATGTGCTTTGTCTGACACGCACCTTGTGAATGACCTTGACTTCATCAAACAACGGCAATGCCCTGTGAGCAGTCATAATCTTGTTTTTGTCCATGTTGACCTTCTTCGCCACTCTGATGATGAACTTGTAACCCTGGCCAGGGATATCATGCTTGACAGAAGTGCTTGTCACCAATGCATTCCAAGGGCAGTCTGATCCACACAAATGATGGTTCATATGACCATACCCTGGAAACTTCTGTGAAATTTGAACACCAGACAAATCTGCATATTTAAGCAGTTAAATTTCTGAGAAGGTATGCAACATACCTTTGTATCCATCAAACACATCAGCCATAGGTGTATCTTTGGTCTGATCACCAGGCGTTAGTGTATGCTGTGTTCCTGTTATATATAACTTGCTCACCTCATTGTTTGCCACTACATTGGTCTCATGTGTCATTTTGCACTAATCAATGGATTAGTAAGAATGTTACTTGATGGGCTATGCATCTTGTTTGTCATCAATAGAGTTTTTCTTCTTCTTGGCAGATGTTCCTGTTCCACCCCTGAGCATGAGGAATATTGCATACATGGTACTGGCCTTCTCAGACCATTCCTTCCCCATAAATCCCTTCAGCACACTGGGTACATCTTTCCATGCTTCTGGATGATTATTGACATACTCCTTTACTGTATTCTATATAACAGACCAGATGAGGAACTGTCCAATGTATGATGATAAAGACATAACTTACTTCAACAACGCCATCTGAGTTATTCACAAGATCCTCCCAAGTCTTGCCATTTTTGTCCACAAGCTGGATAATGAGGTTAAAAATTCTCTAGGCCATTTCTGCCATTCTTCTGAAAAGGGAGATTGAGGTTGTCTACAAAACAGCTGAGTAGATGAGGGTGATAGTTTAGTAGATGAGGGTGCAAGTTGAGTAGAAGAGGGAGATGTGTCAATGGTATTTATAAATGTGGACAAAGAACAGGCCAAAGACTACAGGCCTCATGGGATCAATCTTCTTATGCTAACCAACCACTTGCCTACTCATGCAGCTATATAATTTTGGTGGTTAACATTTGTGCCACCAACCACTGTAACATGGTTTGATATTCCAGTGGTTTTTCATTTACTTCCTCAAAACCAATGAATGCATGGAGACTTTCTTCACCTTCTTCATTGAGGTAACTCAATGTTCAGGGTCAACCTTCCATAGTTTATGTAATAGACTTTATTTGTAGATGCCTTTCAACACCTCCTGTATCCAGGTCAGTTTGTAATCTCTCTCTCTTTATTTTTTATGTATGTGTAAGGTGTGTCAAAAAAAAACAACCCTGAGCTATTCAAGTGCTAATAGTTCAGTAACTATACTTCTGCTAAGTAATCAATAACAGGCCAAAAACCACAGGCCTCACAGGATCAATCTTCTTACATCAACAAACCACTTGCCTACTGCATATCTATATAATTTTGATGGAAAGTGTGTGTGCCACCAACCACTGTAATGTGGTTTGGTTTGATATTCTGGTGGTTTTTTTATTTACTTCCTCAAAAACAATGAATGCACAAAGACCTTCTTCATCAAGGTAACTCAATGTTCAGGGTCAATTTTCTATAGTCTATGCAATAGACTTTATTCATAGAGGCCTTTCAACATCTCCTATATCCATGTCAGTTTTTAATCTCTCTCTCTTTATTTTTGATGTATCTGTAAGGTGTGTGAAAAAAACAGCTACTTGAGTTCTAATCATTCAGCAACTATACTTCTGCTAAGTAATCCCAGCAAGGATGTTTTTGTCATGGATGGTCACATTACTCCCCCAATCTGAATATTTTGGCAGCATCAGATACACCCATGACTTCCAGCAAGGCCTCAGCAATCTCCCATAGTGTGTCTCTCATTGCTTGATTCTGCATGTTTCTCCATAGCGCAAGAACTGCCAAGCGGATGGTATGCAGCATGAGGCTAACCTGCTGATATGTGAATGCATCTAACCAATGTCAGCAGTGAACACCATAATTAACAAATAAATGCATATGCTGGCCAAGACTTAATGTGTCCACCATGTCAGTGTCATGCACTTCATCATTGTGTTCTTTGTGAGGGTGACTGGGAATATTGATGTCCATTGGCATGTGTTCCATAAAGGGCTCAAGAACTTCATGGCCCTTCCCTTTTATGTCCTCTTCTGTAGTCATTCTTGCACCGGATGCTGTTGTACCCTTGGGAGGGTTGGTGTCCAGTCCAGTAGCATGGTTATCATGTTCACGGCAGGTATAGGATCCCATTATCTGTGAAAACTGTCAGCATGAATCTCATTATTGTCTGAGATAGTGTTCCTTAATGCTCTGTTGTGATCTGTTTGATTCAAGATCCTGAAGTTCAATGAGTATCATATAGACAAACAATTGTTTGGCATTTATGCAACTTCAATGATCCCAGTAACATCAAACAAAATTCTTCAATAGCATGTGCATTGCTCTCTGCAATTTTGTGCCACTTGTCCACCTGAATTTTCTCTATAAACTGTTGCAGCCTGAGAGGCATCTTGTAGACAAGATGTGGTTCCTTGTCCAATACATTGGACATGATGTTCTGCATCATTGTGTTACAGGCAATGTGGTTGATCCAATTGATCAAACTTACATGGGTTCATTGATCATCTGCAACAAGTTCAGCCCATCCTCATTGATCATTTCCAGCATCTTTGCATATAGAAGTGTATGTGTCACAGAGTTTATATTTAGGAATGTAGTTTGCTAAGTAAATCAAAGTTCTTTTGTGCAAAACAAGTGCAAGAGTGGCGTAAACAGGTTTGATTAAAAAAACGAATACATTCCAGCACTGCCACTATATGGATCTTCTCTCTTTTTCAGTAAACACGATTGTCCGTTGTATGCTTAAATAGATAATGAACATTATGATCATCTACAAGTTCACTGTCTGTCAGCAATAATTTGAAGTAATATTCTATTATTTGATTTTGCTACACTAACATACCCTCGGCAAAAGAGCTAGGGTTGTGCCGGCGCTCAGCACGGCCCCTTTCCTAGTCATCAGGGTGGTTGGTAACTTAGCAGCCACGTGAGACGTCAAGGGAAGCGCGGGGTGATGATCGGCACCTCACACCCTGGACCTTCCTCAAACGCCAACAGCCAACGGTTGTCAACGCTCTCTCTTGATGTACTCTTACAGAGCCTCTTGTTGATGCTGCTGATCTCTACATAATATCTAAGCTTTTCTGGTTCTCTTTTCTCTGATTGGGCAACAAATTTGTTTGAAAGTCAGTCGATACTGAGCTTGGGGGTGGGCGCTCGGATGACACCAACTTGGCCCAACGCGCGTACCTCGAAATCCGACGCGACCGTGATATGCGCTGTCTAATGGTCATCTGTCGACGATGATCCTCTTCGATGATATCTGCTCCTCCTCTGGACGGAAATTCCATATCCCGCACACTTCCGCCTATCGTCCGGATATCAGTTATGCCACGGAGAAATACTATCGATCAAGAACAGTGAACAAGTCACACTGGCCCATTTTGCTATGGTGCTTGATCTTCTGTCGTCATCTATGAGAGTACGGACGACTCCCGACCAAAAAAGCAACCCTGACCGGAGGACCGACAGCACCCTTTCGTCAAAGGGTGTCCCAGACGCGTTCACCTCGGCTGCTCTGCAACATGTTCCTCAGTTCTCTGGACGCTGCTTCTGATATTTCGCCCGATCGCTCAGGTCGAAACGATTTCGGACCGCCCTGCGGCGACCGAGGAGCCTGAGATATCCTGGGTACGGTTTTTTTTGGATGAGTTCTCTGCCGCTGGCTGTCTCAACAATGTTATCTGGTTATCTTCCACAACGGACTGATTCAAAACAACGGGCCGGCTTCACATCACAACAT